GTCACCCTTGCACTGACGACGAACTCGCCGCTTCCCTTTCGGGTTCCACTCGATCAATGGCTTGTCTAGTGATGTCACTTGATGGTTTGTTTCCTCAGAGTACGGCCAGCCAATCCATCTCCATTTCTTCCTGCTTATTTGTTTCACAATCAGTTCCTGGTTGGTCCGCTCCCAGAGATCTCTATTGCTGATCTTTTCTGGCCGGCCATCTGATGTTGAGTAGTATTGAGCGAAGACAACTGTTAATGAAGGTCTGTAGTTTGTTTGAGATGCTATTTATGACGCTCAGTGCAAGTCTCTGATCCATATAGTAGCACTGACTGACTTGACATTGGAGTTGAAAATCCGGATCTTATTTTTAATGCTTAGTGTATTTTTTGATGTACTGAGATTTTCCTTGCTGTTTTAAAGGATGAATTTCAATTTCGTCTGTTCAATTACTGAAAGACATCTTTTGATGAGGTATCTTGGGTATCAATATTTCTGGTGAACGCTCACACATAGTATCTCTTGTCTATTCTTCCCAAGACAGTAGAGTTGCAAAGCGGTCTATCTCTTTTAAATAACAGTTGTATGCAGACTCTTTTGTGTGCTGTTATAATATTATTACTATTGTAATTTGGATAGTGTTATTAGAAGACGGAGATTATCTGAAAAATGTGATGTATTCGCGCTATACACTTCGAACAGTCTGATCACACATTTACTTGTCAAGTCGATACATATATATGAAAAATTAAGGGCAATTAAATTAAACAAAGTGACAAAAAAAGGATTTAAGAATGATTAACACAACGTTTGGTAATCCAATCAAATAAGAATTCAAGTGCTGGTTTGTAGGGATTTGATTGGTTACAGGATTTTCATCATGAGCTGACATTAGTTAGAGAACCATTGGAAAACCTGGGAGTACTGGACAGCTGTTTCGTCATAGTTTGGGACTCTTTAGCAGTATGCACCCACCGGGATTCGAACCCAGGACCTTCTGGTTACAGTGTGGCGAGGTAGCTCGTATACCGTTAAACCACTGGGACCCGATCCAATGGCCCCTGAATTCTAACTTCTGCTAATTCACGACATAAATAAGGATTACCAAAGTAGGTTTCATCCTGTAACTCTTCAGGTTTATTGTGCGATTTTGGTCGCGGAGACATATGGTGGCATACTACGAAAATGTCACAATCTAGAGTCAAGCAGACGTTCCGTACTCCTTGTATTTCAACGGTTATTTCTTTAACTGTTGTTTGTTTATGACGAAATCAGCCTTGAAATCAATCAAGCCTCAGCAAAATATCTGAAGTACGTCGGTGGCACAGCGGTTGTGACTCTCGCTGACCATGCACATGGTCCGGGGTTCCATCCCCTGCTGACGCACATCTGATATCAATTGGTCGGCTTGCAAAATTTAGGCTACCAATATCACATGCTGAAAATTCCCTACTTGTACCAAAAATAGGTTGTGAAATCAAGCTATAATAAAAAAATTATTCTTATCACTTTCTCGTTCATGCTTTATTATCGTATGCGAAAATCAGAACAAGCTGGATTGAGGGAAAAGTAAACCATGTGCTGATCGAATCGCAACTCAGCGTATCATCATCATCGTCGAGCTGAGCACAGAATGAAGTCAAATCTCTCTCTCCCTCAATTTTATCGACTAATTTGAAAAGGCCTTCGACAGCGTTGATGGCAAAGTTACTTGGCGTGCCCAGAATCTTTAACAACCTTATTCAAAGTGTCAAGTGATCCATAATGGAGAATTCGGTGAAGCCTTTGAAGTAAAGTGAAGAGTTAGCCAAAACTGACGATTATCACCGATGATATTTCCAACTGTTGTGGACTGGATTATACTGAAGACCGCAAGTGGGGAGTGAGAAAACAGGAATGCGTTGGACCGAGGAGAAGACTCTAGAAGATCTGGATTTCGCGGAAGATGTGTACCTAACAATACACAAACTTGAAGAATTGCAGGAGGCAACCAATAAACTTGCAGGAGTGGTTGGCAGTAAAGAAAAGACTCCAGGTGAACACAGAGAAGACAGGTGATGAACAGCAAGCACTAGTCACTATGAATGTCAGACATTCTGAAGAGGTCACTTCCTTCACCTATCTAGGCGGCCAGCAACGTATTGGCTACAGGTAGTCGGAACTGATGAGGATGTCAAAACTAGTCAGGATTGAAAAGGCAAGGCAGGCGTCTTCATCACTCTGAAATCAGTTTGGAAGTCCTCTGCACTCAGCATAAAGCGCTAGATTCGGATGTTCAACAGAAATGTTAAGTTGGTCAGTGAGTTCTGTGTCAGTGAGAAACTTAGGGAACGCGTCACAAAATGCATTTCCAACATTTCACTGCAAACGTTTATCAACAGCTGCCACCTGAGCTGGCTCCATACTAAAGATGAGACAGCTGGTGACAAAGAATTAGGAACAAGAGTCTCTGGGAACAAACCAGTCAGGAACCTATTGGTCACCAAACATGTGGAACAAAAAATGGAGGTGGGTTAGACACACGCTGAGGAGACCGTCAAATGACATTACGCGCAAGACTATCGCTCAAGTGGAAGCTGAGTGGAAAACAACGACTTAGGCATCCGAGTGTGACATAGTGGAGATCGTCTGGCGAAGAGAAGATGAGAGACTATGGGCGATTGGGGATCCAGATAAAGAGGACCTCATGGAATAAGACAAAGTGGAGACGTGCTGTTGAAGCCCTGTATCTTACTGAGAACCTAAGGGAACAATAATAATAACTATTTTAGCTAATTTGACTAATGTATTAGTATTTGGGTTTTCTTACGTTATTCTGTTTGGTCATTATCACGTTGGAAGTATCTAATTATGTAATAACTTGTCGCTGACCTCTCCAAATTATTTGATCTTCGATTCCATGATAATTCTCGCTTCAGAACCTGGAGGTCCCGGGTTCGAATCCCGCTAGGCGCTTACTGTTGAAGAGTCCTAAACAAGGACGCAAAAGTTTTCCTGTACTCCCTGGTTTTCTAATGGTTCTCTAACTGATGTCAGCCCGTGATCAATTCTGGAAATGACAAAAATAACATGAGTAACGTGGGATCCAAAGACTCTGTAGTACTGCCATATAAAGAAAGAACATCAGAGGCCTCATATAAGATTCTCAAACAGACTGGAATTGGAGTGGGATTTAAACCAACCAACTCTCTCAGAGATAAACTTCGTTGGCTTAAGGACCCGCCCCCTAGATACAATTAAGAGAAATAATGTAATTTACTAATGACTGTTTGTGGGATGAATAACATAATGGGTAAAATTAGCGGATCGGGGTCAGTTAGATTATTGAAACATGGAACTTTAACGAGACACAGAATAAATGACCCAAGTTAAGTAACCTAGGAAAAATCTCAGCCATTGTATTGCACTCACGCGGATGTAGCCAGACAAAATAGCGTGGGACAAGGTGAGAGTATTACTGAGTAATATAATTAGGTGGAGGGAGAATGTGGTTAACCACTGAATCTTTGTTTATCGATCCAACAACGTACAGGTGCAATCGGCATTATACAACGCAAATACCGGAGATATGGAAAGTGGCAACAAACAACAAGGGGAAGTTGGAGAGAAAAAAAAAGAGAGGAATGTGTATAAGATAAATTGTGAAGCCGTGTGCCTACCAACTGATATGATAATGAGTGGCGATAATTTGTGTTTGAAAACTTTTCATCCAATTATGTCTGTCTGTCTGGATTCAACATAGAAGTTGGCACAGAAGTACAGCAGTTCGAGTTGCTACGTTCCAAATAGCACACAAAGGGAGACAAGAAAATAAGTGGAGAGAATCAATAGAGTTTTGACAAGTATAAGAGTGAAACAGAATGAGTCATGGTAGAAAGGAATATGAGACTGAATATTAGAGACTGAATACATCTGCATAAGCCATTGACAACGATTTTGAGCCATGTCACCTAGTGTCTCCAGCCATTGATTCTTAAAGTCCCGAGGGCGGGCCCCAACCCGGAAATCTGCATCTCCCTCCCTACCTGACTCAGTTTAACTGTCAGGGATTTCATGGATTGATGCCATGTTTTTGTTTGGCCACCACTTACTCTTTTCCAACCTGCACCTATATCAGCTAGTAATGCCAGTCCGTCGGGGGAGGCGATGGTTAGGCATGCGCAGCACGTCACCTAGCCATCTCAATCTATGTAACTTTATAGTCTCTTCGATTGATTTTCCCTCTTTGCCCAAGAACGTACGCCTAACGTCAACATTACTTACCTTATTATGCCACCTAACGTGAGAAAGAGATCGTAGACATCTGTGATCATAAAAAGCCAACCTTTACATGTCTTCAACTCGTATTGGCCATGTTTCAGAGCCATAGAGAAGGACGGAGTGAACTGCTGAGCAGTACACACATGCCTTGGTTGATAGCCGGATGTCACGCCTACGCCAGAGATGGTGTAAGTTAGTGAAAGCAGCCCGAGATTTTTGGATCCGTGCTGAGATTTCGTCGCCAATCAGTCCGATGGTGCTGATACAACTTCCCAAATAGGTGAAGTGGTCAACATGTTCTATCACTTCACTCCCTATTACTAAGATAAGAGTTGACGTAGTCCAGTCCTGTGGCAGCATCTTACATTTTACAGGGGCGAATCGCATGCCAAACATACTAAGATTGCTGCTCAAGGTGTTCAGAAGACTCTGCATTTTGTTCATCGAGTTATATTAATACTGCATCATCACTGTGTGATATTTGAAAATAAACTTATCTAATATAGAGTTTTCACCTCTCCTATACTTCAGAACGGATAATCCTTATTGACTGACGAATAACCAAATGATTGGTACAACTTTGCTGTGGAACTACAGTTTATGTTAGTGCAGAGTCGCTGATGAGGTACTAATTGAAAAGGGATCTATTTCTTCGCTACTCAATTTGTTGATTTATTTTTCTAAATGTATAAATAGGAATTTTTGAAGTTAATGTTTCTATCCTTGTTTTTTGTCTCCCACCTCATGAATAGATAATCCTTTTCCAATCCGAAGAAATGCTTCTCACAGATCAAAATCTAAACCACATCACCAAACTGTACAAACGAAATCAAATCAAATATTAACCAAGAAGTTATATCCAAATGTTAGTTGTGGCAGTAGTAGTCATATCACCGCATCATCTGGTCTACTGGAAATGTGGGAATCGAATCAGCTGGCTTTGGCTGAAGCAAATAGTACAATTGTACAATTGAATAAAGAATTAAAAGACTGCAAGCTGGAATTGAAAACAGTTCAAAGACAGTATAAAATGCAAGCTGTACGATTAGATAAAGTGAGTTGTTATGGTAATCAAAATGAGAATTTTTATCAAATGACATTAAGTTTGGGGATTAGGGAAAACCATGCCCAGTTTTCTAGTCTACCCTAATCGCGGAAATATAGGGAAGTATTGTATATAGGACTAATAAGTTCATGCTGCTTTTTGATGTAGTTGTGCTCTCTGAGCTGGATGGTGTTTACTGACATCATCGCTTTCATCGCCTTACTAGGCAACTTCTTCAGCGCATACTTCAATTTGAAGTGAGCTTTAAGATTTTTCCAAGAGTTTGCTAGTCATCTCTTCTGTTGGATAACCTTGAACGTGATTGGTTGCTTCCTTTGTCTGTCTGTCTTCATACCCTTTAGTCTACCTTTATTCGTATTGATTGTTGCCTAAGATTTTCCTCTTATGAATTGGCAAATTTTATCTATGTCAATGTGGTATTTCCTTTGTCTAATATTTGAACGTCGTCTAAGTCGAACTGATGTCTGTGGTTGTCTGTATGCAATGATATGAGTGAGGGAGTGGATATCATATCATTTGACGGCTAGTTTGTGATCATGGATACAAAGACAAAGAAGGCGTTCTCCACGTTAGCCAATGTAGTGTTTTTCACAATCGTTGCAATTAATTTTGTAGATGATGTTTATCAATTCACCAGTCATTAAGAAGAAAATTTCATGCACAAAAAGTAAAACTTCAGATCCAGGAGAACATTATCTCCAATACAAGTAGAGTAGATCGTGTGAAAACAGATAAAAGGCAACCAGTCACGTTCAAGGTTACTCGCCAGGAGAGATGACTAATAAAATCATGGTGAAATTAAATTTAAAGTTTCACTTCAAATTGAGGTGTGCGCTGAAGATGCCGCCTAGTAAGGCGATGAAAGCTTTGCAAGTAAACTATCCAGCTCAGTCTGTCTCTCTGTCTGGTTTCAACATAGAACTTTGCACCGGTGTGCAGCAGTTCGAGTCGCCACACCTCGCGCTCAGCACACAAAGCAAGAGAAGAAAGTAAAAAGAAATGCAAAATAGAGACAGTAAACAGAGATATGAGGCAAAAAGAATAGTAATATCGAAGAACAATATAGTTTTATTGGATATTATAAGTCATAAGGAGTGGATGCATCCACGCCTGGAGCCATATCACTAATTGTCTGCAGGTATTGGTGTTTACTGTCCCGAGGACCCCAACCAGGAAGTCTACACCTTCCTACGTGGCTGGCTTAAATTAACTGTTGTGGATTTGATTAACTGGTGAAACCATGTTTTAGTTTGACCACCAGTGGCTCTTTCCCACCTGACCCTATATCAACTAACATTGCCCGTCATCGAGGAAGCGATCGATGGCTAGGCATGCGTAACACATTTCCTAACCATCTCACTCGGTGTAACTTCACAGCCTCGTCGATTGATTTCCCCTCCAACTCACCTAGCACTCGACGCCTAACCTCAATATTGCTCACCCTATTATACCATTTCACACGGGAGATAGAACGCAGGCACCTATGATCAAAGACAGCTCAGAGAACACAACTATGTCAAAATCTTCCGCCTAAGCTACGGATCTTTTCTATTACATCTAGTCTATCCTGTTAATAACAACTTAAATGATACTGACATTGCAAATCACAGAAAAGTGAACTTACTCCCCACTAAGATTGGGAAGACACCTCAATTCGAAGAATAGTTCTACCGAAGATAAAGGACGCTTCTGTGATAAACTGGCGAATTAAAGCAGAACAGGCTGCAGGTAAGAGAGATACCAGAAATCTATATCAAAAAACCTAGGTCGCTGTCTGTGAAGAGACCAGTGCAGATGACTGCAGTAAGACGTACTAAACATGTTGAAGAGAGACACTGCTAGTGTTGATCACTTCGAAGCCATCTAAAGCACTGGCGCAGAATCATGCTCTTGTTCACCTCAAGAAAATTATTAAGCTATATCATCCTGGAAAGACTAAAAAGACTTTGTGTAGAACAGATTAGACTCAAGAAAGATAAGCCATGCGTGGACTAAATCGCAACACTATACATCCTTGTAGAAGAGAAGTTGATCGTGAGGTAATTAGGCAGTTTCTTCTCTCTGTACTAAAAATCAGGTCCTGGATTCGAATCCCAGTGGGTGCGTACTGCCGATGATTCCCAAACTAGGATGAAACAGCAGCTGTCCAGTACTCCCTGGCTTTCAATGGTTCTCTAACTGATATCAATCCGTGATCAACTCTTAAAAAAATCAGGTGACCAATCAGAAATTATAAACAACGAGACGGGAATCTGAAAACGTCTTGTGAACATTACTGATATTAGTAGGGGGAAAATCTGATTGGTTGTTAAAGGTCATTTCGTAGGACATTTAACGTGGTTACCAATCTACTTAACTTACCATTGATACACTTCAAAGTAAGTTATACTTTAAGAAACGCATTGACGTCAGAAAGCCAGTATATCATAAAAATAGCCTCACCCAGTTTATTAGCTTGTTAGTTTTCTAGCCGATCCTAATCCCGGGAAAAGAAGGAAGGTTAAGTGTGGGGCTGGGGAGACTCTACCCCGTAAAATCAACCCACTAACTACAAAAACTCCAAAGCACATGAATAATACAAAAAACAAACTCATTCTTCGCTTGGAGCCGATAGGTGAAATGATGCGGATTGGTGAAAGACTTCGGGAAGCCAGTCAACCAGCCGATGTTTCTTCTCTCGATGAATACCTTCATTTTACTCAGTACCACATGTATGGAAGGACGACCCAATCATTCAAGATACTTTTCCTTCTAAATGTGTATAGCAATGAGATTTGAAAGTTATTTAGAAATGTACATCAACACAGATTACCATTCAAGGTAGAAGAATTATCCTAATATAGTACAGTGAAGTGAAAAGTTGAAAGATTCTAGAACAAGTCATCTGAGGACAGTTAGATAGCTAAATATTTATGTGGTCTGCAATTGCTTTTTTTTTTTAATATAATTATCACTGAAAACGTTATCAAGAGTGATGATGAAACGTCCGTGACTAAATATCGAATCCCATCCTAGGTTGGAAAGTCTGTCATGGGATTAACGTACTATGTAATCATGAACCCCTATAGAAGACCAAGGGGTAATGGACACTGGTTTCGTCCTGGTTTGAGACTTTTCAGCAATACGCATCTATGAACCAATTCGGGGTATGACCTAGCACTATCAGGTTACAAGGTGAATTTGTAGACCGTACACAGCATGATCCCCAGGTAGCGTCACGTGTGAGTATCTGTCCTTAAATCCAAACTGGCCGACTCTGAAGAGTCCCAAACAAGGACGTAACAACTGTCCAGTTATATTATACTATTTTTCCCTTGGATTCCTAGTCGAACATAGGGCTTCAACTGCACACTTTCACTTGCTTCTGTCTTCTACTGTACTTTTCACTTGCATCCATGTTAGTCCATACTGTTTCAACTCCTCTTCACACGATCTCCTCCATGTCACCATTGCACCGACGTCCCACTCGCCGCTTCCCTTTCAGGTTCCACTCGAGCACTGGCCTGACGCGCGATGTCACCCGGCGGCCTCCTCAGCGAGTGCCCAAACCATCTCCACTTTCTCCTGCATATTTGTTGGGTGATTGGCTCTTGTTTTGTTTGTTCCCATAGTTTCTTGTTCTTTCCGGCCATCTGATCTTCAGTAGTATAGAGCGAAGACAGTTATTGATAAAGGTGTGCAAATTGTTGGAAATATTCTATGTGACACGCCAAGTTTCTGATCCATTCGTATAGAAGAACTGACTTGACGTTTGTATTGAAAATCCGAATTTTGTTGTTGGTGCATGCTGAGTGACGAAGATTTCCAGACTGGTTTCAGGTTGATGAATGTGTTTCTCACCTTCCCGATTCTCGATTTGACATCTTCGTCCGTTCCTGTCCAATACTCCCTGATATTAAATTGTCTTTTATCTGACAAACCAATACTTGAAAGCTACTCATATTATCTTTTATTTTAATTTCTTCTTCTTCTTATAATATTTCCTTCTGATTATTAGGCAATTGGACAAGAAGCTGATATGCCACAGATTATTGATCGTTTGAACTCAGAAGTACGTACATTACAGTTACGGTTACGTGAAAAAACGCTACAATCAAGTGCAGATCAAAGAAAAATTAGTGAATTGTTACATCGTGTTTATCTGTTGGAGAAGTCTACATGTGATGATAAACAAAATCAGTCGTTCGATAATGGTTCATTACAATCACGTAAAAAGTCTAATAAATCAGAAAATGCAACAAGTGAATTAGACGAAGAAAAGAAAAAGAATTCAGTAAATAATCTTTCTTTTTTCTTTGTTGCTTTGTTTAAAATAATAATAATACTAAAATGGTTGGAGGATTTCATCATGACCTGATATCAGTTAGAGAACCATTGGAAAACCGGCTGGGAGTAATGGACAACTGTTTCGTCCTAGTTTAGGACTCTTCAATGAGATCCTGCAACCAATCAAACAAAATCCCTACAAAAACCAATACTTGAAAAACTGATCTGATGCTCACTAGCGACTGGCCCTATTCAGGCAGTGACCTGAGATTCTAGTGGGAAGCCGTGACCAGTAGGGTGCAGCAGGGTGAAGGTGAGGCAGTAACTCATCGAAATAGAAATTGCGAAGTGGTCGTGCTATTTTTTTATGAATTGGTAGAAGTCAGAACTCATGGGCTGGCCATTGGATCGGGTCCCAGTGGCTTGATGGTCTACGACCTACCTCGCCACACTGTAACCAGAAGGTCCCGGGTTCTCACTCTGTGGTGTGGGTGCGTACTGATGAAGAAACCGAAGCAAGGACGAAACAGCTGTCAAATACTCCCAGCTGGTTTTCTAATGGTTCTCTAAATGATGTCAGCTCATGATGAAATCCACCAGACAATCAAACAAAATCCTTGAAAAATCTTAAAATGGTTGATTTTAAGCCTGTGGGTGTTTCTCTTTTTTATTTCTCTAATATTTTCTTAACAGCTACTGAAGTTAATTATTGAAAACAAAACACGTGTAGTTCAGCGAACAGTCTCTTTTCGCCGGTGAATTCATTCACTTAGCTGAGCTGTACAATGGCAATTGAACATTTAATTATTTTTGTATGTGTGTGTGTACGTTAGGTTTGTCCGATAACAACAAAAATAAGTTAGGATTATTGTTGACAGGACATTTCAGAAATGTTTTAAATAATCAAACTGTAACTAGGGGTGGGGTGGGGTGAAGATCAGTAACAGGCTAGTGGTGATGTGCGTCGGTGGCACATTGGTTAGGACGCTCGCCGACCATGCACATGGTCCGGGGTTCGATCCCCGGCCGACGCACTCCATTACCTCGCTAAGCCAGAAATAATGCTGGTGAAGAGGAAAGGTTGGGCATGAGGCTAGCAACCCCATCCTGTTAAATAAACACTGCTACAGAAACTTCAAGCCACTAGCTTGAAGCCCTATGTTCCACTGGGGAATGTGAAGGAATAAAAGAAACAACTAGTTAGACTCCTGACTCGAGACAATCGGCGATACGGCTGAAAATTACCATTCCCAATGGCTGGTGCAGATGTATTCACTCTTTGTGATTTGTAATACCCAGTAAAACTCTGTTGTTCTTCCATATTTTTTTACTATTCGTCTTCCCTCACTCACACTTCAGTTTATTATATTCCTCTCTTTTGAATCTTTCTATACTCTGTTCTCTTGCTTTGTGTGTTACATAGAGGAAGTGTGGCAACTTGAACTACTGCACATCGGTGGAGAGTTCTACGTTGAAAACAGTCAGTCAGTTAGTCATTTGCAAATTAATTTAAATAAATAATACTCTTAATATATTCAATTAGGAACCAATAAAACACTGACACTTACCGTTTAGTTCACCATGATCTAGTTAATTAATAAACACCTTTTATTGATTATTTGTGTCAACTGTACCGTTTTTTATAGTTATATTCGTCACGTGTATGGAGCACACACATGCGATTTAAATACAAGTGGGTATGTTGGGAAATTTGTCTTATCGCCATAAGTCCTACGCTTACCCATAATCTATCTTGGGTTTCATACATTTATTCCCCTTAATGAATTTGAACAAAGCATGAACTACAGTTTTAGTAGAATAAAATGGTACCATCATTGTTTATTTCGTCGCCTTCTAGTCAGCTGCTTACGGGGCAAAGACATTATTAAATGTATCTACAAAAACAATTTTAACATACTTGCACAGAGTTCATTCTTAAACAAAAATCAATCGATCAATATACTCATACACTAATAATATATATATGCAATATTAAACACAATTCCGAACAATAATAGTCATACATAATGAAGACTTTTCAGCATCTCGCTTTTGGATGAAAAATATCCAGTTACCAGGGCAAAGAAAGACTGATAACCGCTTCTTTCTCGACGCATAAGTCAGGTTTCAGGCGTTTGATGGAAATGACTTCAGCAAACTTAAGGAGAATTGAGCTCTATTGCCTGTTGATAATTTTGAACGACTTTTCGACGTCCACCTCATGACCTGTGTCGGGGAGATGCCTAGCAATGGCACTGTTTAAAGCATTTGTTCCCTTTAGACGTAAGCTTTTTGGTACATGTTCAGAAAATCGTAGATATGCCCTTCTTTCTGTTCTTCCAATGTAACTGCTCCCGCAGACCCATGTAAATTTGTATAAACAGTTGGAGTTGCTAACATGAGAAGGATATCTATCGATTTTTGATTGCATCAAAGAGCAAGTTGTTCAATATCGTAGGTTTGAATCCCCCTTTGCCTTCTTCTACACCTAGATAATAGCGAGTTTGCCTTTTCGACTAGTACATGAATTCGAACTGGTTAACTTTAATCCACTTGCCATTGAGTTGCTCTAAATTTTATTTCTGGACATTTTTTAAAATTATTATTAAGGAAATAACAATTCCTAAAATTCTTGTACGTGACTTGATTACTCTTTAACTTTTATTGCACATTGGTAAATATTTTAAATCAATATCACTGCACTTAAAGAAATTTTATTTGGTAAAAGGCTGTAGTATACTATTCTTTATATTGTATTAATCTTCTTAGGGAAGATTTTTAGTTGAGGTGCATGGAAGTATTTAGTGCTGTACTTTGTGTTTTTGTTGACCTGAGTGCTTTCACTATGCTTCTTGACAACATTGTCAAAGATATAAACTCAAATTACAGCGCTGAAGATGTTGTCTACAAGTAGAGCAATGTAATCTCTCATATATTAATCACCCAAGCAGCTCAGAGATCATGAAAGCAGTTTTTAGGCCGAACTTTATAGGTTTCCAAGGCCTACTTTAATGCTTTTCTGTTAAGTACCTGTCTTATGTCTAGTTTCTTATTGACAAGTCAATTGAGGCCACAGATTGCATCGAACATGAAACAAAATGCGTCTTTAAAATTTACAGTAGGCTACTTTAAACCCATGATTAGTCGAGACCGTGACTCACTGGCTTGAGCCCTCAACGTTCAGTTAGTGGGTCTCAGGTTCGAATCTTGCTTCACCTAATTTGGCAACTTGAAAAGTTGGGTATCATTAGCAGCGCTTACATACAATTGGTGTGGCTGATAGCTTGGTACAAGCAAAAGCCTGTCCTTACAACCGATACCATGGTCATATTCTCAAAAAAAAGACAGTTGCAGCGAAGAAAATTTCCATTTCGACGAAATCATCAACTAGAAGGCTGCACATTCGTGTATTTATGATGAATGGGTAGGAAATTTCCAGAATAAATTCTGGTCAAGGGTCAGATTAATAGAATTACAATTAGGAATTAAAATGCCATAATAAACAGGCGCGAGAGACGGATAAAGCTCAGACAAAGTAGTATCATAATTACTGAGGAGATTGACATTGATTGTGCAATTCGGGGTTAGAAATGTAGAAATAACAAAAATTGACAGGATGTTTGGATACAAAAATATCTAGTGGGATCATAACTAATGTGAGGAACAATTGTTTATGCAATCAGGGATTAGATATGTAGAAATAATAAAATAACAAACTAGACAGGAAGTTCGGTATGAAAATATGGTAGTGTAAATAGTGGAGGGATTAAGGAAACCTTAAAAATAACATGAATAAACACGAAGTTTGTATAAGAAAGGCAATGGGATAGTCACCAATAAAAGAATCATCTGTTTATGATGGCCATAGTAGGGACAAGGGTTAAACGTATTTCTTTCGGATACATAGGTTTGGTTTTAGCCTTTGGATAGCTAATCCCTCGGCTATGCCCAGATGTCTTAATTTTACTCCCTTTCATGATGATGATTTCGTCGAAAAGGAAATTTTCTTCGCTGCGACTGTCTTTTTATTCCCTATGATTAAATGTGTATATTCTGAAATAAATTAAAGTTGCAACAATGTTATTTTAAACTAAATTTTGTACTCAAGAATTTTAATTCTGTGGTTTAATCGTAGACTCCTCGCCAAGCATCTACGTGGTGCGAGGTTCGATTCCTCCCCCCAATCTCTACCTAAACCTTACCTAGCTTACTAGTTGCTTGTAAGATTGGTGGTAAAGAGGGAATGTTTAGTGTGAGAATAGCAGTCCCTCCCTGCAAATAAAAACAACGCCATCGCCAATGAGACTTCAAAGTCTAGAAGCCTGAAGCCCTATGTTCCATATGAAATTCAAAGAATGAATTCTGATGTTAGCTCGTGATTAGATACGTAACCAATCAAATCGCTACAAACAGACACTTGATAATTAATTTGATGCCCACTAGCGACTGATTCTTAACAGGAAGTTATATGGAGTTCTAGAGAGAATTCGTGACCAACTAGGTCCACCAAGGCAGACAAGAGGGCGGTTGCTTGTTGATGGCATTTTGGCTGGTGGTTGCACTATGTATATACATCGCAAAGTGGTAAAACTTGGAATCCATTGTTCCATTGATTCAGTTTACAACTCACCTTGTAGCCTGCAGGTCTTGAGTTCCAATCTTGGTGGGTTCCTACTGATGAAGAGTCATAAAATAGGACGAGACAGCCATGAATTATTCCATAGTTGTCAGTGGTGCTCTGAATGACGTGAAAAAGAACATGACTGCTAGTGAGACTTTAAAGGCTGAAAGCCTGAAGCGTTATATTCCACTCGAAACTGAAAAGGATAATGATAGTATATAAAGTTAAAAAGTTGTAAATACTAAAATGGTGAAGAATACATTATAGCCATTTTTGACTTCACCTATAATCATCACTTATCAGATTGATGGTGATCTACTTCTGGATGGGTGATGGTTCCTTTCGGCAGACAGCGAAGGTAACAACATGCACGAGATTCTTACGCACAAGATCGGTGCTTAGATAAGGACCGCAAGGCTTAACGGTTAGAACGTGCATGTGAAATGGAACCAGCAGCTGCACCTTACAATAGTCGGAGACTGTCTCAGCTCATTCGAGCCACCAGATCAAGAAACATGTGTCAGGAAGACAGTTTGTGGAGCAAATAGCACGCCGACAACCAGCCCGGAAAGACGCCTGAAATGCTCGGCATAGTCATTCGAAAGGCAGTTTAGTTGGCCAACAGCGCCAGCATCCAATATCAATAACTATACTGCTCTGTAGTCGAATAATCCCGACCAAACAAACGAAGTGGAGATCAGAAAGGGACTCCAAGTGCTCAAACGCTTTGAGGCTTCGGATCCAGACGACATATCACCGGCTCTTTTTAAAGAGATGAGATTCTCGTCAGGGCGCCGACTGAACTGTTTAGAAAATTATGGGAAGTTGAAGATGTTGCATCAGTGTGGAATGAAGCCATCAGCATGCGCACCTTAAAAATGAGCCTGCACAATGCTGTGACAATCGTGGGGGCATTAGTTTGTTACCAATAGCATCTGAAATATTAGCTACTGTCTTGTTTCACAGGCTGTGGAAAATGTGTGAGGAAGTGATTCGCGAGGAGCAGGTTCTGGATTCCATGATCATGTGTTTACTCTTTGTCAGTCGCGAGAACACCATCACACGTATTACAGACCAACAGTCGTTGCATTTCTTGATATTAGGGTTGCCTTCAATTCGTTGGACAGGAATTCTCTCTGGATCTATGTGTTACAGAAAGGTATCCCTGAGAAGTTTCTTGACATCCTCAAAGTCGTATATAGAAACGGCTCAGGTAAAGTGAAGTCATACAGTCAGCTATCACTACTGTTCCCAACCATCATTGAGATTAGACAAGGTTTCCCATTTTCTGTATTTCTCTTTAACTTCTCCATCAATAAAATTCTAGATTCAGGTGTGAAAGGGTGTCTGGGATGGTGGTAGCGATGTAGATCAACTTTCTGGAGAATTTCCGATCTTAAGTGTGTGCAGATGATATCGTCTTACTGTGCAATAGCGTACAGGCAGCCAAAATAGTACTTAATCAGTTAGCTGTCAGTGTCTGCATGTATGGTATATGCTTTGTGCCGTTCAAGTCGTAAATAGTATTGCATGATTAGCAGAAGCCTGTGCCTCCGTTCACTTCTGCAGGTGAATCGCTTGAAGTTATCGACAAGTTCGTGTATCTACATAGTTTTATGAGTGCTGGAGGAGGTAAATCATGACTCCCTGGGTGGGGTCACAGAGATAATTCGAATCAGTGGTTTGAGACGTTAACAGATGTCGCCAAGAGTCGTTATCAATACCTAACTCGCAGCGATTTCCTTCTTTGAATGTAACATGAAGTGGTGAATGTTGAATGATCTTGACAAGGATGTTTGCTTGTTTTCTGTATGACGTCCCTCACTCATTCTATCCTTATTTTCTTTATTTATTGTGGGACTTTTTCATTTTTTTCCGATGCATCTTTTGGTACCCGCCTAGTACCAAGTTTGTGATTCTGTTAAATAATGGTGATCTGTCACTCCAAGGCTAACTTAGACAGCCCGTCATCAACAATTAGTGACCCATTGTTGTCTTAGTATGTTTGAAATTGACTGAAGAATACCTGGCTGGGAAGCTAATGAATATGGTGATGTTCCACATGCCGTAATACATGGTTCATTCACTTGACAGCTCGACACTACTTATGATTACTATAGTAGAATGATAACCAGTTGAGCAGTTGGTTTCCTAAGCTCAACTGATTGACCGCTGTTATATCAAGACTATCCCAGGATAATCTGGACGTAAGACTGAATTCTATCAGTCAAATTTGCAGTATGGTCAGTATGCTGGGTATCTTCAACCATATGGGATCCATTCAGTGTATTCATCGCGATGGAGATTCACCTAGCATGGTGACCACATTGCAAACATAATTGACAGAATTCAATCTATACCAACCCAATGACTACAAGCAATACTGAGATTTACTGAATTATTATTATTATTATCGTTTTCTTTAATTCCTAGAGGAACATAGGGCTTCAGCCGTGCGTCTCCATTGCGTTCGGTTCTCTGCTAGACTCTTCAACTGGCTCCAAGTCTGCTCACAAGTTTTCATCTCCTCTTCACATGACCTCCTCGAAGTCAACCTTGCACTGACGACCAACTCGCCGCTTCCCTTTCGGGTTCCACTAGAGCAATGGCTTGTCTAGTGATGTCACTTGATGGTTTCCTCAGAGTATGGCCAGCCAATCCATCTCCATTTCTTCCTGCCTATTTGTTTCACAATCGGTTCCTGCTGAGTTGGTTCGCTCCCAGAGATCTGCATTGCTGATCTTTTCTGGCCAGCCATCTGATGTTGAGTAGTATTGAGCGAAGACAACTGGCTGTTGATGAAGGTCTATAGTTTGTTTGAGATGCTCTTTACGACGCGCCAAGTCTATGATCCGTATAGTAGCACTGACTGAATTCGCATTGGAGTTGAAAATTCGGATATTATTTTTGATGCTTGAGAGTAGTGAGTGCTTGTCCTGCTTTTCCGATTCTTGCTTTGATATCCTCGTCAGCTCCGTCTGCCTGTAGTTGAAACGATGCTTCCCAGGTAGGTAAAGGAGGTTTTTTCTTTCAGGTTCCTTCTATTTATGTTGGTTGTTGTCTGTTGTTGTTGTTGCTGTTGGTGGAGTTGCCCAGGAATCTTCATCATCTTTGTTTTCTCTATGTTCACCTGAAGTCCTATCTTTGATGCTTCTTCTATCGCCAACTTGTTGCTTTTCGCCTGCATACCTTCCAGTTTGTGGGAAATCAGACATTTATCGTCGGCGAAGTCCAGATCCTCCAAGTTTTTTCTGTGGGTCCATTTTATGCCTGTTTCCTCATTGCCCGTTGTTTGTCGCATTATCCAATCTACTGCAATCAGGAAAATCATTGACTATAAAGCAACATTTGCTGCTGCAGACTGCCACGAACTCTGAAACCACCCAAACAAATACCTCGTAAAAACATTCCTACCAGTTCATAATTTATGACTACATTATTATTCCTTTGGGTTCCGAGTGGAAGATAGGGCTTCAGCATCACATCCCAACTTTGTCCTACTTTATGAGCTCTTCTTCAACTAACCCCACGATTGCCCATCAGCTATCATCTCCTTCTTGCCACATGACCTCCGCCATATCACTCTAGGATCCATGCCCAACTCTCCATTTCCCATTTGGGTCCTAAATGAGCGATTGCCTTGCACGCGATGTCATTTGATGGTCTTCTGAGTGTGTGTTGGAATATTTCTTGAGCGCTAGGTTCTCGCCTGTTGGTTTGTGCCCAGAGTTTCTTGTTGTTAATTCCTTCTGGCCGACCATTTGAACTTTAATATGAAGCTAGCGAAGGCAGCTGTTGATCTGCATCAGCCTGTTGGAAATGTTTTTCGTGACACTGTCGTCAAGTTTTTAACCTAAATGGAGGGATCGACTGACTTAATACTGATGTTTAAAATCCTAATTTTGTTCTTTAAGTTGATTGCTGAATAAATTTTTATTTTTTTCAGGAGTTTTTCATGGGGATTTCGTTTGTTTTTCAAGTTTGATATCAGTTAGGCAACCATTGAAAACCAGGGAACAATGAAAATCAATTTCGTTCTATTTCAGGACTCATCAGTAGCACACAATCAGTGGGGTTCGAACCCAGGACAGTCTGGTTGTGAGACAAATTCGTAGACCATTCAGCCACCTCAGCTTGACTCCACAATGGCAAACCGATGAGGTCTAACTTCTACCAGTTGATGATTCAAGCGCGAGCTTGCCTTTTAAACGGAAGGTGCTGGATTTGAAATCCGGTGATTGCGTGCTACCGATGAGTCCCAAACTGGGACGAAATTGCTGTTCAGTATTCCCTGGTTTTCAATGGTTCTCTAACTGATATCAATCCTTGATGAAACTTGAACTATATATGTAAATAATTTATGTCATTACGTCAACACAGGAATGAACTATGCCGCTACAATGAGCCTCATTTCTCAGATCAGCTTTAAACCTACTCGATTATGTCATCATCAGACACTATTCATTAATTAAATCTGCTTTCTTTATTCCTTTTTTTTCTGTATAATTTAGAAATTAAAACATGAAATTTATGTGTTGACCAAAAATTTTAAGCAACAAATTAATTCAACAAATGAAAAACTTCGATGTTTACGGGAAAAATATCAAATTCTAGAGAAAAGTTTACAAGAAAAATCACTACAGCTACAAGTAAGATGGGTTTTTATTTATACATTTGATTTATTTTATTCGTTTAATACTGAATGAGAAGGACACTGACGGATAGGCTTTGCACTCAAGTTTCCTGCTTATGAGACATTCATCAACAAGTTATATATGCGATCTCGATTGAATTAGTCTCTCTCCTAGGGATTTAGAATCCGTCACATCCGGTGCTGCATTCAGAGACGTTACCGAGCTCGAGTCTTATTGTGAGCTTGATTAGTTAAGCAGTACTGTCTCTGATAGAGTTGAAGACATGAAAAGGTTGACTGTTTTTGCTCAAAGATGTCTACGATCTTTTTCTCACGTTAGGTGGCATAATAAGGTAAGTAATGTTGATGTTAGGCGTAGAGTGTTGGACAAAGAGGGAAAATCAATCGAAGAGGCTATAAAGCTACATAGATTGAGATGGCTAGGTCATGTGCGGCGCATGCCTAACCATCGCCTCCCCCGACGGACGGGCATTACTAGCTGATATAGGTGCATGCTGGAAAAGAGTAAGTGGTGGCCAAACAAAAACATGGCATCAATCCATGAAATCCTTGACAGTTAAACTGAGTCAGGGAGGGAGGGAGATGCAGACTTCCGGGTTGGGGCCCGCCCTCGGGACTCTAAGAATCAATGGCTGGAGACAATAGGTGACATGGCTCAAAATCGTTGTCAATGGCTTACGTAGATGTATTCAGTCTCTGTAATCTTTCATATTCCTTTCTACCATTTCTCATTCTGTTTCACTCCTATACTTGTCAAAACTCTATTGATTCTGTTCACTCATTTTCTTGTCTGCCTTTGTGTGCTATTTGGAACGTGGCAACTTGAACTGCTGCACTTCGGTGGCAAGTTCTATGTTGAATCCAGACAGACAGACTGTCTCTAATCACAGTACCGGGTGACACTGGGGGAGAGCTAATTCTTTCGAGGTTACAGATACACCAAACTGGTGAAACCATGGTTTTAAGTCTTCTTGTCAACTGTCTCCAACCATAGAAAATCAATCCAAAATACATGATGATGGCGAGTTATTGAACTTGGTTACAGGATCGTCAACTTGACTGGTTGAATCGACATAACACTGAGGACTAACTACGTGTCAATGCTCACATCGGCCAGGGTTTGATTCCAGGTTGATAGGATTCCCGGAGAAGAGAGAAGGTTGAGTGTGCGGCTAGTCAACCCATTCAGTTAACGAACAGAACACCACTTTTACTGAAACTTCAAAAAGCTGGAAGCCCTATTTTTTACTTGGAATACAAAGGGACTGAACACATGAGACTAATTAACCCGCGAGTGATCAATCAACGAATGAGGATGTAGATGACACATTCACTGTACTTAGAACACAAGATATAGATAGATTTTTTCAACACATCAACTCGAAGGTTGAAGCAATTCAATTCACTTATGAATTGGGAAATCAGGAAGGGGAGCTCCCAATTAATATATGTGTAAAACTTGGGCACTGTGGTAGTAAGTAATTCCATATTAGTTTGTTTATTAGATATATCACACACAGTGTGAAACAGTGTTATTTACTGGATGACACAGTTTCGAACAAAATTTATTGTTCATAATCATATCAATTGTAATCACACGACTTTGACACTTGAGTTTTATAGCTTTCTTTGTTTTCTCCTATTTGTCGTATGGGTAGTAGAATTTTCCAGATATCTGGGTGGACAGATGTTGAATCATTCCTGTTACTACTACTACTACTACTACTACTACTACTACTACTACTAATAATAATAATAATAATAATAATAATAATAATAATAATAATAATAATCACTTTATTCCACAACAATAACAATTTACAGCATGGAATTTTCAGCGTTTCGTTTTACATATTGCATTGGTTTAGCTCTTTTTATAATTATATAAATGTTTGAAATGTTAAAAATATTGATAATTAATAGGAAAAAATAAAAACCCCAACAAAGTCACACCGTTTCTTGGTGATAGTGAATAATAAATAAATAATATAACAAATTATACATGCAATAATATGCATCATTCCTGTTACATGTATTTGCAGTTGATTCGATAGACAAAACTTCCGTTATCAATCTATCCCTCCACCCTGTGACATTAGATTTTAAAACAGTCATCTTATCCCATCATTCTATTGTATGGTTGTGTGTAATTGCATGTAGTGCTATAGCTGAACTATTCTCCAGATTTCTTATCTTATTTGGATCAACCAATCTAGATTTTGCTAAGTTTTTATGTTCTGCTAGTCTGACTGCCCCTATTCTACTAGTTTGACTTATGTATTTGACCTGACAATCATTCCAGCAGGGTATTAGATAAACTTAATTGTTTTGTTTTAAAGGCTCTACAGGATCCTTTAATTGACAAAGCTTGTTTGTAATTGAGTTTGTGGGTTTGAATGCCAGCCACTTTTATTCCTGCCTTGTTAAGAATTCTGCGTAAGGCTTCCGAGGTTTTTTCCTTGTCACAGGGTATAGGGAGAGATTGATAACAGAAGCTTTGTTTATCGAATCAACTGCAAATACATGTAATAGGAATGATTCATCACCTGTCCATCCAGATATCTGGAAAATTCTACTACCCCAAAAATGACAAATAGGAGAGGACAAAGAGAACTATAAAAATGAAGTTTTAAAGTCGTGTGATTACAATTGATATGATTATGAACAAAAAATTTTATTTGAAACGTCATCCAGTAAATAATACTGTTTCACTGTGTGGTACATCTGATAAACAAACTAATATGAGTGGGGATTTTGTTTCACACAGCTTTTCTGCAACTATTTACAGTTGAAAATCATAAATAAGTGAAGTTATGTATCATACTTCAACAGAGAAAGTCAACAACATCGTATAGAGCTGGGACAGTAAGTACAAGATATTTAATATTGAAATCGCGTCAAGTCGGTCGTTCTATACAGGTCAGAAACTTGGCCAGCGTGTCACGAAGAGGATTTCCAACAGGTTGCAGACTTTCATCAACAGCTGCCTTCGCTGGTTCCATACTTAAGCTCGAATGGCTAGAAAGAATTAGTAGCAAAAAACTCTGGGAACAAACCAACCAAGGGCCGATTGTTCAACAAACTTGTAGGAGAAAATTGAGGTGGTCGTCGAATGACATCCCGCTCCAGGTCCTCGAGTGAAATCCAAATGAGAAGCGACGAGTCGGTCGTCCTAGGGTGACATGGGGGAGATCGTGTGAGCTGGAGGAAGAGATGAGAGAGTTCAGTCAATCGTGGACCCAGCTGAAGAGGGTAGCAGAAGACAGAACAAAGTGGAGACATGTTGTTGAAGCCCTATGTTTCACTCAAAAACCAAGGGACCAATAATAATAACAATATTGAAATAGTCAAATAATTAGATTTTATTTATGCATAATATGATAAGAATTTCAAAAGTCGATAAGACATGGGTGGAGTGAAAATGGATGATAGGGTGTGGGCGGGGGAAAAGATTCAGTAAGCGTAAGCGAATTATCATGTACATAAACACATTAACAAATCGGAAAGGTCTAAGAATTCGACATATGAATCCAATTACCAGGATATCTTGGACGCCAAGTTTAGATTGTAGTCGCTTGATTGCTGTCGCTTTGGTGAAGCGCAGTAGTAACCACGGTTCTCTGTGTAAACCGATCCTCTAAAGCGTTAACTGACTACGGCTGTAGGCACTGTGGCTATAAGCAACTTCGTGATTACAACTTAAAACCTTTTTCCTTACAGATGTAGAATGCACGACTTAGCCTGTATATACAGGAAATGTAATTTACCTCGCATTGCTCTTGTGTCAAGTTTTCAGTCATTGAGCTAAAATTCATTTTTAAACCTTCCAATTTGTTTAACAGTTCGTAGGCGTGTAAATTTGCTTCTACTTAGTTGTTCATTCTCTAACGTCCTAACATATCGTTTACAATAGAATTCTGTCTATCTGATTATTTCAGAATTGGCTATCTCGTATTTACGGTTCTAGATCCATTAGTCTGCTACAGTCTATGAGCCGGCCTTCTCTTTCGGTCCTATTTGGGACTCATCCACTGGATGTTTCTTCGTTCCCATTGAGTGAGCGGTTGTGTTCCTAGTGAGACTTGAAACCAGCCCCAGCAATATCCATCAAGACCATTAGAGTCATTTCTTGTGCAGGAATTTTTCAACTGTTATTTTGTTTTGAGGTTATTTTGTATTTCTCATCCCAAATCGGACGATATGTGCCTCCTGGATTCCACCGCTGGTAATCATCAACTAAATAAGATCGTGTTCGTGCTTCAAGCCGACATATTAATACAGAGAACACGAGCTTGTCTGTCCCATGTAAATCAAGCAACGTGAAATACAAAATTGGCTTCCACAATGCTTTTTTAATTACTTTGTGTATAATTAGTTTCTGTTATAAGTGCACTGAACTGAATAAACCCCGTAACTACTTTGTTATATTTGCGCCCTTGCAAAATTGATGATATTGATAAAGAAACCCATTCTGAAGTTAAGTATCTTGGATGAATTCTCTCTTCTGACCTATCCCGGTCCTCCCATGTCTTAGCGATTTCTAAAAGAATATTTCGTCTGACTTTTTGCATTAAAAAGTTAAGGCAGTCAGGCATAACCCAACAAACCCCTCCACCTCTTACATTTTATCAACTCGTGCATCTTACCTATTCTTCTTTACTGTTCACCCTTATTCTTTCCTGGATTGGTTAAAATAGACTATGTCATACTTCGTAGAACTTTGAAGACTGAGTGCCAGTAGGGCGAGTAGCAGCTATCCTATTAGGCCATATTGTTGACACCGTCATTGATGACACGTACTTGATGTCATGCAACAAATTTAATAAACGAATTTTGTCAGACTGTGAACATCCACTTTACCCGCAGCTCCAACCTTGTGTCTCCTCAGGTAAAACAAGAAGTCTTTTCAGGAGAATTTATGCACGTACGTCTAAGTATAAAAATTCCACTATACCATATTTGGTACGTACTTTATGTGATGAAAATAGTGTCAGA